AACACTTGCAACGGACACTTACCTTTTTTGGAATATCGCGCATTGAAGACTAAGGCTCCACCCGATCCGACGCGATCCAACGGCTCTATTCCACTAAGGTAAGTCTTGATTTATTTTAATTATTTTGATACTAACGATTCCTTATTTGAAATTGTCTTGTGATTTCTTTCCTTAAGTAGCGTAGGGCATTTGTTTCGCCGATTGTGTTTTAATTAGTTAGATYTCGAATCTTTGTAATAAATGTTAAGACCCCTAGAAGGGCATWGCTGATCGGACGAGTATATAAGTCCCCTAACAGCCTTGTATTTTTTTCACCATTGATCAATAAAGCAAAAGCATTCTTCTTAAAGAATTTCTCTTGAACAACCTTCGAAATCCGGGATTTCTAGTTGTTCGCTCCGTCAGTATCGAGTTGTTTACATCCGGCTCGTGGTGATTTCGTTCCATCCTCGCATCCACTCGTTCATCTCTTTGTCCGTAGTGAAAGCGCCGTACGGCCAGCACTCGGATCCGCCTATCGCTTCGCCTCCATCGCTCATCGCTACCCGACTCGCTACATGTGTCGTACAGCTGGTTCGAGCCATCCATCCTCCACGTAACCTCTGTTTGCGAGGCTGCATCATCTGGTATCAGAGCTTCAAAGCTCCTAACTATCAGGTTTTATCTATCCATAATCTTGTTTCAACTTCATTTTCAACAAAAAAAAAACAAATTGTTCTTTGTTTCTCGTCTGTTTGATTCGACTCTTTTATTCCAAAAAAAAAACATTCGTTTGATTGTTTAAAGCATAGTGTTATTCATTGCATTTAGCCGCTTATCATTGTCGTGAATCATTGCATTTCTTGTAGTTTCTTTTTTTCATCTCGTCTTCATCGTTAATTTTACAAAAAAAAAAGGTTACTACGAATTGTCATTTCCATTCTCGGTTACTCCCATACCGCATATCAATTCCATTAATTGTCAGTTTATTTCATTCCAACGGTCATTTTCTTAATCGATCATTCTCAATCGATCATTTCCTTAAACGGGTTTCGCATTATTTACTTGCCTTTTTAGAATACATTCATACACTTTGTCATCTTCTTTGCAGGTACTTAACCGGACCAAATGGGAAACACAGCTGAGCCAACCTTGGCCCAACTCATGGCCGCGATCCAAGGCCTTACCAACCGTATGACCCAGCTTGAGAACCAGCAGAACCAAGAGACCGAGAGCACGACCGAGAGCACGACCGAGAGTAGTACCGATCCGGCTCGCGCAACCCTAACCAGAACGGCTGCAACGGCAACGGACAAGCCCGTGATCAAAACGAACCACACCAAAACCGCGACGGCCCATACAACGGCCCAAGACAATGCCCGAACCGAGAAGAATACGAGCCATGGCACGGTGGAAAGAGTTTGAAGCTGGTT